GAAGTGAGAAAAAATAGAAAGACTGGAAGATAAAGAAGTAGGGAATGGGATGGAGGAGGCGAAATTATTTGGCCTGCGGGCAGAAATGGCCCATCGGTGGGGATGAAGGAGTGAGAAGTGATTGGAAGGAGGGAAAACGGGGAAACGAAGGGATAAGCTTGGCACCAACGATGGAGAAAAAAAACGGATGAAGGACTATAAACAAATGAAGAAGAAAAAGATGGAAGGAAGGGAAGGAGGCGGTTTATGGTTGTAGATTGAAAGAGTAGTTGAACGTGGGAAGAACACAAAAATTTGAAAAGGAAAGAAGAAGTGGTTGGAAAAGAGTTTTGTGTTGAATGGAATTGCAAAGAAGGAAAAGCGATTTCTGTAATGAGAATGAATGATGAATGAACCACTTCATAACTAAGATCGCATTAGGACAAGGAAGTCCAAATTTTGAAGGTTCTGAGAAATTAGAGTGCAGGGTACTGATCAAAACTGGTTTATCTGAATAACCCCATTCAAAATAATAAGCTTCTTTCCTAGTTTTCCTTTAAACTGAATTATCCGAAAAAAAACTCAAAACCGCCATCAACTGACCTGAGATCGTTTTTGAGTTCAATGACAACATCCTTGCCGACCAATGACTTGAAGAAGGAGAAAAAGAGCTGAAATTTAAATTTTTGAAAATATATCGGAAAGCATTCTTCATGCATCATCCTTGTTGAATTTTTTCGGTGCACAAAACACAATAGATTATTAATGAGGCCTTTTTCGATTTTGCAATGAAAACTCTTACCATTTTGATGTTGAAGACCCAGGAGACTGGCAAAACAGTCGAATCGAAAAAAAATGTTCAAAGCTCACTAAACAACGCGCGGGGTGTACGAGCGGAGTGTCGTTGCGTGCCAATAAACGCAGAAGGCGAGAGAATCGGGAGGAATCCGGTTAGTTTTGAGTGACCAGCCACTCTCCAGTTTGTTTTGCGCTATGTTTGAATTATCTTTCGATACAGAAAAGCGAAGAAAATGCGCCGGTTTTGTTGTCAAATCAATGCTTTTCGCAATCGTCTCTTCCTTCTTTATGTTATAAATCGATCAGATCTCTCTTTCAATTACACATTACACCCTCTTAATCAGTGTTCGTGTTAACGATTTCGTTCCGTTCTCTGTGACTTCGTGTCGATGACCTGTTGTTTTCCAGAACACATGCTGCGAAGGTTAAAAGAACAAGTTTCCCAAGTGGCTAATGAGGTAAGTTATCGAGACTCATCCCTCAACTATTCATTATTTCCAGCTCGATGGAAGATTGAGCAACAGCAGTAGACCGAGTGTATCCAGCCAAGACTCTCAAACACAGCAAAAATCGGAAAATGATCAGGAGGTCGAGGGATTTTTATGTCCCATTTGTATGATCGAGCTTGGTAGTCCAGATGAGCTTACTGTACATTTTGAGAACAAGCATTCAGATGTAAGTGCTACAGTGCGATTCTTCTAAGGAATCCTAACCCCTCAGAAAGTTTCAGACATCTGCTAACCGAAATCACGAAGACTATGCACCTCCGCAAGCAGCTCCTCTGGCATTTGGTTCTAAAGATCAGGAAATTGAAGAACTTCGAATCCGAGTAAAAGAAGAAAAACGATTTGCTGAAAGGATCAAAGAAGAACTCGACAACATCAAAACAGTGATGGCAAATGCATCGAATGTAACAGAGGATGAGATTCCATACATGGCACAACAAATCCAAGTTCTCACAGCAGATAAAGGAATGGTGACACGGCAGTTTTTGGAATTGGAGAAGGAAAGTGGCCAGCAGTCACGAGAGTTGCAGCAAGTGAAGCAAGAACGTATGGATTTGATGACAAAATTGAAGCAGATGAGTGTTACGATGCGAGAGCTTACCGATGAAACAGAAGCGACAAAAGTGCAGATGGAAGATCTGAAACGAGAGTTGAAGGTAGTGAAGTCTGATGTTAGTCGATATGAAATCGAAGTGGCTCGACTAGAGAAAATGCTGGATCAGAGACCTTCTGAAGATGACGTCAACGTGCTTCGAACAGAGCTTGTAAACGCTCAAAAGATCATGGATTCCATCTCTCAAGACAAAGACATCGAGATGAAGGAACAAATGAATTCCATTCGAAATTTGAGCATGGAGCGAGAGAAGCAGCATGCTATCAATGAGAATTGGAGAAAAAGATCACTGAAGGAGAGGAGACTGTGAAGCAGTTACAGCAATCGTATGATGCTCAAACAGAGGAGTTGAAGCAGAGAAACGAGCGAGTTACTGAGCTGGAAGGGAGGATTAATGAGCAGGTGTATCAGTTGGCGGAGAGTAGACAACTGGTGAAACGTCTGGAAGAGAAGGTTGTGGAAGCTGGGAACGCTCTTCAGAAACTATCCAGTGTCAATGATACCAATGAAGAACACTGTAAAACTCTCAATGAGAAATTTGAAAGGGTAAACTATGTTGTTTATTTTATTAGAATTTCGTATACGATTTTTGAAATTTGATATTATTCGTTTGGTGCGGTCACAAATTTTCACAAAATTTATACAAACCAATTGCAGAATACAAAAGAACGAGAGCGGCTGGAAGCGATTTTTGAGGAAAAAATGACAGCCCAGGGAGAGAGACTAAAAATGGTAGACTTAAAACCGTAATTGAAATTTTAAATTTTAAACAATTTAAGGTGGACGGAGCGAATCTGGAACTCACCAATGAGCTAGCATCGATGAGTACTCTTCTTGACAAGGAAAGGTCTCTTTTGGAGGAAAAGAACAGAGAAATTTCGGAAAGAGACTCTTCTATCAATGAATTGAAGGAAAAACTGGCAGAGAGTGAAAAGAAGGCTTCGAAGCACAGTAATGATCTTCAAGAACAGACGACGCTTGTTGAGAATTTGACAATTCAGTTGAGCAAACTCCAGGAGAATTCCAAGGATTTGATGGAGAAAATATCGGCTGGTGAAGGAGGTGCAAAGATGGCAATTGAGCAGATTGAACAGGAGAAGCAGAAGTTGACTGATGAACTTCATGCTTCTGCAGAAAAGAACAAAAAGTTGACAGAAGATTTCGACTCGAAGATCTCTGAACTCGAGAAGAAGTTAAGAGATGCAGAAGCACAAAGAAAAGATAAGGAACAAAAGTGGAAGCAGGAGAAGGAGGTATTCGAGAGGAAACTAGCCGAAGCAGAAGATGAGGTCAAACGGAAAGTAGAACGTTTTGTGGAGATGGAAAAGGAAATGGAAGAGGATCGACAAAAGTTCAAGGAGAGAACGATGAAGTTGAAAGATGCTCTTGTGAACTCTGAAAAGAACTTGGAGACAATAAAAAAGGAAAGTGAAGACAGAGAGAAGATTGTCAGGGAGAAGGATGCTCATCTGGAAGAAAATAAGAAGAGGATTGAGGATGCTGTGCAGAAGTTGGAGGAAGCTGAGAAACGAGCAAGAGAGTTGGAAGCTTCTGTATCAAATAGAGACACTGCTGTTTCCAATAAGGATTCTGAATTGGCGGATTTGCGAAACAAATTGTTCGAGTCGAATTCGTTCATCGAAGAGCTGAAAGTGCAGGTAGAGAAGGTCAGCTTGCTGTTTTTATATCCATTTGATACTATTTTCTGTCTGTCTTACATTTACGGTTATGTCTTCTAACAGCACCAGACCGCTTTTAAATTTGAGAAAAAAAATAGTTGAACTTCAAAGATTATGAAAAACGACACATAAATCAATTTTTTAAAGTTTCTAACAAGCTGGAAAAAAGTAGCACGAACCCTCTAAAACCCCTTTGTGTGCTCCAATCCTTAATGGGTCACTTCTTTTTTTTCTATTGCTCTAGAATCAAGAACGTCCCGTTTGTCCGTTGTTCCCCCTAACTTCCCTATATGACCAGCTTCCGCTAACCCCGTTTACCTTTTTGCTGCTCCCGAATCAAAGTGTTTTGCCGTTTTAGTATGTGATTCAGGTGAACAACGAGTTGACTGAGAAACAATCGGAAGTCGATAGTCTCGTGACTGAAATGCAAGAAAAGGAAGCGCACTGGAAGACGAAACGAGATGAGTTTGAAGCTCAAATTGTGAGAAATCAAGAAGAAAACGAGGAGACGTCGACAACACTGAAGGTTCTACAGGAACAGTTGACGAAGGAGAAGGAGACGTCGACAGAAGAGAAAAATCAGCTTAACTCGGTGAAATCTCTGTTGGAGGAATCTAAAGCTGAAGTTGAGCGATTCCTCCAGTGCGACGAGGAGAAAACTCAAGAAATTGATAGGTTGAAGTTTTCGATTTCCAGTTTGGTAAGCTTATAAGCTGTCTTTCTTACTCTAATAACTAAACCGACCATATTTTCAGAGTCAAGAACGTGACGAGCTAACCACCACAACAACATCTCTAAGGTCTGAAAACGAAAATCTGACTAGCAAAGTTCAAGCTCTAGAAGACTGTCGGAAGCAGTCGGAAGAGAAGAATTCTGAGAACATTGAGAGAATTGTGGCAGAAAAATCCAGACTGGAAACAGAAGTTGAAGAGCGGGAATCCACGATTCAATCGATTCAAGAAGCGTTGGAGGCGAAGGATAATGAAATTGAGTCTCTGAAAACAACGTCTCAAGTAATCGAAGACGAGCTCACTTCGAAAATTTCTCTCATCGAATCTTTCAATTCGCGAATTGAAGAATTTGAAAAAGAAATGGCCAGTGGAAAGAGGATGATAGAGCAGTTGGAAGCAGATAAGGCGGAAGAAATGGAGAAATTGGTCATTATCAATGGAACACAGAGTCAGAAACAAGAGGAAATAGAGAAGCTTCAGACAGAACTGTCAGAAAAGACTGCTACTATTGAGAGAATGACTTCAAGTAAAGCTCAGTTCGAAGCGATGTTTGCCGATGTTCAACAGACTCTTCAGAAAGAAGTTACGGAGAAGAATCAAGAGATTGTTAGTTTTAGAAGGTGTTGAAAGCTATAAAATATCGAATTTTTTTCAGGAAAGACTGATGGAACGAGTGGATAATCTCGAATCTACGAACAACCAGAGAATCAATGAGTTGGAGAGCAAACTGACCCAAAAAGAACGTATGGTTGAGTCGCTGGAAGCTGATTTGGCAGAGAGGAGAGCGCTGGAGAATGAAAAGCTTGATGAGCAGAAGAAGATGAAAGAAGAATATGATGGTAAGATAAGTTTTAATGATTCCGACAAATAGAAAAGTAATTCTAGAACTGAAAATGGCGGAAGCCATGTGGCAAGCCGAGAAGGATATGCTCATCGAACGGTGTCTGGGTAACGAGAGTGATATCGAGTATGAGAAGGAAAGAGCTCAGGAAAATAAGCGGCGATTCGATGATGCGTTGTCGGCAATGCACGAGTTGGGAAGAGCTAATCAATCGCTTCAGGTGGGTTACCACAATGATACTGGTACAAAAAAATGGGAGCGTTGGAAGATTCACTGATACGCAGTGTAGAAAATTATAGTGATTCATATAGAAACAAATAAAAAATTCGAAAAAAATAGCCGTTTCTGGAAACTTGTGTAATGTTCTGGTCAAACCTGAAATCTCTGAAAAACTAGCGACTTTTTCTAGAGAAAAACTTTTTTTCATTAGAGTTTTTTAGACCTTTTAAGCTTTTCTAGCTATTTTAAAAGATTCTTTCTCGATTATCCGGGTTTATTAACTGAAATTTGATAGAGCGATTTTCGTGAAGATTACTGTAGATTACTGTAAATACTAACTTCGTTTGCAGTTTTTTAAACAAAATCACGTTTTGTGTGCATTTTTATATGATTGTGCTTGCAAAAAAACTAAAAATTAGAAGGTTTCCTACAGTAATCTACAGTAATCTTCGCGAACACCATCCTGTCAAACTTCGGACAAAAAATTCGGAAAGGTCAAAAAAGAATTAGCAAAATAAGCTGAAAAACTTAAAAAGGTCTAAAAAGAATCTTGCAAGAAAAAAAAATCAAAGAAAAAATCATAATTTTTTGGAGTTTTTAGTTTTGGCGGGAATTCAAAAAAAGATTCCAGAACATTCCAGAAGTTGATTCATTTCTGTATCGAAAAAATGTGATTTTTTTTCAGATTGACGCCGACCGTCACAGCTCCCGAAAATGGCTCGACGATTCAGAAGCGATCAACTGCACCGAGTGTGGGAAGCTCTTCTCATTGACCGTTCGAAAACATCACTGTCGTGTTTGCGGAAAGATCTACTGCAATCCATGCAGTTCAAAATCCGTTCGAATCGCCAGTGCCAAACATCCAGTACGAGCATGCAATCATTGTTTCGCAGAGTCCCAGAAATAGATTTTTTTTTTAATGTCCCAGATATTTATTAGTAAAATAGGTTAGATATTTATATTATTTATAAGCATGTGTTCTCATAATCATTTATTTTTTTACTACTAATTCTCCACTATGATCCCTATGCCTGCCCCCATTCAATTTATGTACCACTGGCCCCCAACCGCTCCTCATGGAGCTCCATCAAGTCTTCGCTCACGAGTTTCAGTTTTACCAATCCCGATACTAGTTCAATATGTGATACATTGCCATCGTTTTTATTTTCATGATATAAATCCCATATTCTTATTTATTCAATTGTCTTATATTGTCACTGTAGGTAGCGAAAATGATCAATCAAAAAAGGTTGGGAGAAATTCGAGATTGCACGGATGTTTGAGATCTTTCAGGGAGTGGCCTGAAGGATATCTAGATCAACTTGCAATAACTTATCACAGTACTTTGACCATATAGCCTAGGGGTTTCCCTTCCGGTCACTTCTCATCTCATATCCGAAAACCCCCGATAAAATCAGTAGCTGCAACTATTCCACTGTTGACGTCACCACGTCTTCTTCTTCTGCAGCATGAATGAAGCTCCGCCCATTTCTCTCTACGTCTTCTTCGTCATTCTTCGGACGATCAAGGACACAGTAATACACAGTAGAGGTTGAAAAAACGAAGAAGAAGAAGTCTCTTTTCTCCCTTCAATATTGTCCATATCATCACTCTCTGATCTATTTAAATCTCAATTTTCTTTTTTTTTCACGGATTAAAACGAGAACGACGACGACGATAAACATTCAGATGATGTTGAATGGTGACCCCGAAATTTCGGAAAATTATCTCTCGACGAATTAAAATGATACAACGCCTTTTTCGAAAATTTTCTTTCGTTTTCTTCTACTTCTCGTGTTAGTTAATTTTGTTTCTGATGACGTTCGCTTCTCCGTTTTTTTCTGAAAACTTGAATTTCGTATTGAAAATTGAAAGTTTCAGCCATGTTACTTCCAATTCTGTTATTAACAACGGTTTCTTTGGCAATTGGATGTGTTCACAAGGGAGAAAAATATAAGGATGGAGACACTTGGGTGAGTTGGATTCTGGAATTTCTAAACAGATTCCAGAAAAAATACCGTAAACACTCAAATAGAAGGCTACCCCATACTTGTACGTTGAGCTTAATTATCTCAATTTCTATAAGAGGTATCGAAAATGTTAGTTTTAAAATCAACAACATTTTATCAGTTAACCCATTTTTGATATCTCTTATAGAATTGGAGATAATTGAGCTCAAAGTGTAAGTATAGTGTGGCTTTCTATTAGAGGGTTTACGGTATCATATATCAAGTTCTCATGTGAAAAGGGCATAACTTATGAATCATCAATCATGTTGACATCTAGAACTTTCTGATATTTTGATGTTGAATTCTCATTGTGTTGTTCTCCACGGGACATCATCCGAACCTGTTCAAGACCAAGACTTTGAACTGAAAGTTACAAGGTACATGAATATCATATCACATATTTCCTCTAATAGAAGCCAACCCAAACCATCAACATTGAGCTCAATTATCTCGATTCTTGTCAAAGATATAAGAAATTTGTCATCTGATGAATTATTTATCATAATGCCATCAATATTTTATCCATTGACAGTTTTTTTGATATCTCTTTTAAGAACCATGATAATCGAGCTCAAAGGTGACGGTTTGGTTGGTCATTCATTGGAGAAAATACGGTAGCTAGGATGAACATTTGCAAAATTTAAGTTCAGTTTTAATGAGATGATATTACGTCATATTTGTCGAGAACCGGAATTTCTAAACAGAGCAATTAAAAAAATGTTTGAGTTTTCGATTCTCAAGTCTCAAAACTACAGTATGGAAATTTTAACTTTTTCCATCGTAATAACGGAAATAGTTTATTTTTTTACGACAAATTAACTACAGTAGTCCTGTCAAGCCCCCCCCCCCCCATTTACAAAATGGCGCATAGACATCTGGGGATCAAGTTTGTACTAGCATTAAATGTTAGTTAATCGTTTCTTTTTTCTTTGAAACTTCTGAACTACCTTTAGTACTCAGTCTTTGACCTCATTAATGTTCTTGACCAGTCTCACTTTCCTAATTTTTACAAGTTACGAACAATCTTTGCTCCCTCCATCCGCCTTATCTATCTTCTAATTTCCAGGTCGCTCGTTCAACATTTGTTCTCCGATGTGATATCACAAAAAGTGGATGGAAGACTACAGTAGTCGGGTGCCGAACTGAAGAAGGGGTCCAAGTGTTACCTGGCCAGACGGTCCATGCGGGAAACACGGTCAGTGATCACAAAGACTCGCATGTGAGTAGCTACAGCTACTAAGTAGTGACCAGTATCAATTACTAACATTCCTCATACCTACTCACCTCTTCTTCGTCAAAACTATTTTCAACCGGTACCTCCCCCAACCCCTAATTCGGTTTTGATTCAATTGATAACTTGGTAACCGGTTATGACAGTTGAATAGAAAAAGAAGAAGAGGCAGAGGTGATAAGGGAAAGATAGACGAGAAAAACTAAATTGAATGACTTTTAAAAAGTTTAGAAGTACGAATGTATCAAAGAGAAAGACGGAACTGTTGAAATCAGAAGAACGTTGAACATCAAAAGAAAGAAGAGCTGTGGAGATCATTCGGTTGGAGATTCGTGGATTTTCGAAAAGAATTTTATGGCAAAGTGTACGGAGAAGGGAGTGCAGATTACGGATTGCATCTCGGATTCAGGAATTCCAGTTCCATTGAACGGATCATTGGTTCTGACTGGTGTCAAGTACAAGTTAGTATAGAGAAATTATTTTTCTGAAAAAAAGGGTATTTCAGTTGTGTCATGGATGCAAATGGCAAAGTTTCCCTTCACAGAGATGCTGCTCCACAGCAAATTGCAGTTACAAAAGCAACTACGGTACGTTTCAATGGAGGAGGTTGGGGGATGTCCTAGCTTTTATAAGCATGAATTCTTGAAAATGTTCAGTTCAGATTATCAGGTTTTGAGTCTGAGAAGTTTACGTTACCATATTTCCTAACAGAAGGCCACCAAAACCGCCAATTTTGAGCTTATATATCTCGGTCCCTGTAAAAGATACCAAAAAGTGGTACTAACAAAATATTTTCAAAATTATGATGAACATTTTGTCAGTTAATCACTTTTTGATATCTTTTACAGAAACTGAGTAAATTAGCCTAAAGGTGATGTGCGGTGAAAAATTTTATTGCTTTATTTTGTGCAGCAAATTCATGTAGGTTCCCATAAAAATAAAGAAAAAATTCGAAAAAAATTCCTTCATTGAGAAAAACGGCATCGAAAAGTCAAAGTGGGAACCGGTGGCCTAGCGGCCAGGTGTGAGTTTTCTAGGCCAACTGCCGGTAAAAGCGCGCGAAATTCGAATTTTTATTGATTTTCAGTGTTTTC